GGTATAACGCAAAACTCTCTTCTTCTCTCTCTCTTTCCTCAACCATAAAGACACTAATCACAACTAGCTTCCACGGACAGCAGTATTCAGTAACCTCACAAAACACATATGTACATAAGGAAGAAACAGGAATATCAATGCCTTCTCAACATTACTCCCTTCTCTGTGACTACCAAAGCCTCCTAAAATATATACTTCCTACATCATATATAAGTTTTCTCCTTATTCTCTTTATCTAATTTACCAAATGTAAGAACAGTCTTTCATGAACAGCCATTTACAGAGCAGCTAGACTTAGCGTACCGAGCAACCAACAGGCTCATCATCACTTCAAAATTTACCTTGTACATATCCACTCTTTTGTTTGTTACTTGTGGATCACTATGAACTGGAAAATATACAGCTTCTGTTATCAATCATCGTCAAGTTTCATCTTAGCCGTCTAACTCACACTTGTTATTCCTAGGACCTCATGGCCTACCCATTTTTCTAACCCCATATAAAACATTCCAGAACATATCTTTATCTATGTCACACCTCTAAATCACTTACATGAAAAATAAAACCTAATAAAACATGGGTCAGCGTGTTACTGAGTATAAGAATGTCTGGCATTTAGTATTTTCATTAGTACTAAAAGCTCTATTTACACGTATGCAGACACACTGCTGTTCCTTCCAACTATTTTCTTCTTTAATCAAAGGAAGCTGACAAACCTTTGAATGGTGCTGCTTTTAAATTCATTACCTCATGTATGGAACAATGCTTCACTTTGGTCCATATGCAAAAATAATAGAAACCAGTTTTATTTATAGATATGATCATAAAGTAAAGGTAAGAACAAGATCATATATACAAGCACATTAACTTTCAAATTTAAAAAAAATCTATGGCAAATCTCATTTTGAATTGTGTCTTCTTTAAAACCATCAAACCACATAAATATAATCTGTTAAACAAGTCCTGATGGCATTAACCTGTTGATAGTGGTATATAGTTTTATCTAGTTTTGTTAACACACACATGACTCCTGAAGTGCTTGGGCCTACTTGCCACAATCATGTAAAGCCTGTCAAAAACTGGAAATTCTTTTTTTCTTTTTTTTTTACAAAGCTTTTTTGTTATCAATGACACCTATGTAGTGTCTACTTCTGTATCAGGTGTTATTTGTCAAGTTTTTTTTTTTTCAACCATACCAATAATAGCATTCACAAACTATTTATTTTGCTTATTTTCCTCGCCTTTTCTTTTTGTGAATAAATGTAAAATATGAATAAGTAATTATGCTACTGTATGGCCTATTACATCCACCCAAACACCCATCTTCCTCTCTTCCACATTCCTCCTCCACATATCCTACTATAACAGACAAAAGAGGTAGCTTGTGGAATATTTTGTAAAACTGTAAATATATGTAAATACAGATCTTGTTCTTTTGTATTACAAAAATGTGTAACTGCAATTACTTTTACAATTTTGCATTTGTTTTTTAAGTATTCTGTTGTGTAAAATAAAACAAACCTACAGTGAACATAGTATGCATTGAGCACCAAGAGGTTAATAATTTCCTGAAAAAATGGTTAATGTACCATAATTGTAAACCTCACTCTCTTTTAAAATAAATAACAATAGCATTACTGGACTAACTGCTTGCTTTGAGAATCAAGATAACTGAAGATTTCAAAAAGAAAAGAATCAAAGTTTCAAAAGATTTTTTTGCAAAAATAATCTTAATTAAAACAAATACTTCCTTATACCAACAGATAAAAATGACAGTATCTTGTATCAGATATCGTCAAACATCTAAATTTTCCCCATGAACATGCAGGTATACGATGTTAATAATAATACTCATTCCAATTCATCATGGAAAAAAAAAGATGCAGAAGTGGTGCACAAACTCCTATCGCACAAAGTGAAACACAGGCACACAAAGATGCGCTGTGACAAACGTATAAACCACATCTCACCTCTGCGTGGCTGTGTGCCAAGCAGTGACAATCAGCAGGTTGATAGGTATGTCTACAGGTATGAGGTCTGCCACCAGTTCCCCTCGACAGTGCAGGGTCCTTAGCATGCCCTTACCAGCACCCACAATGAGACCTGTTGGACCGTTCAGGTTGTCAACCCATCCGGGGAGAGGTTCTCGCCAGGCTGCTGCCACTGAAACACGCACACAAAGTCATGCATCAGTATCCTGTTTTCCTTTCATTGAAATTTCCGAGATACACTTGGTGGTACATGTATCTGGGAGAAGGATCATAAAATGGTTGAAGTAGGAATGGTCCAAAAAAAAACTATTCCACCACATAGAAAGACACATTAAGAAACCTAATGGACTACCCTGAAAACTTTCTTGTAAATGAGTCGAGGAAAATCAAGAACAAGGCAACAATATCAGTAATAAACAAAAGTGCAATTAATATCCATATTAATAACAAAATACAGAAACTATTCAATTCAAATACAGCAAATTAGGCCCTTCACATTTTTAAAAATTATGTTTTGAGCTTAAATTTCTATTTACAGTGCCCTGGGCCAGATAATAGCTAAATTAACACCTTTTCCCTTTGTATTTATATATTTTAAACAATTAAAAATGAAATCACGTTATTATTCTGAAATGACTGCATTTATAGTTTAAAGTATGAATTCTCCTGCTTTTTTTTATTCCTATTTCCAAAGAATTCATGTCTTCCATGGATAGAGATATGTATCATTATGAAGTACAAATATAATTAAATGAATACCATCAAATAGTAAAAATAAAAACCTATATCGAGAACAGCAAGTAGAGAGGAACAGTTTTTAGCTCTCCTACAAATAAATAATGCAACAAATAAATTCAATTCTATCTATAGACAATATACCAGTAGATAGAAATAGATCCAAAGATAGCTATACTGATATATATACACACATAAATATATCAAATAAAAATAAACACCAGTATACAACCATCCCTCCCCAAGTCTTGTCCACCTAACACCTCCAAAATCCACTCACCTATTGATGGCCGGACAATGGCAAGTGGTAGAGATCCTGCCTCTTGAACCAACACATGTTCGGCCAAAGCCTTTGTGTAGGTGTAGGTGTTAGGCCGGGAACCAATCAACCTGCCAACACCCAGTGGAATTAGATAGACAGTTCATGACACCCACTTCAACATAAACCCTTCTAAGGGTTCGTTGCAAAGAGACCTGGTGATTAATGTGTTAAAGTACTGTTTCACATTATTAAGTAGCAAACGTACACAACATGAAGGGATTTTTCTGATTAAGCAATTAAATTCCTCTTTTTTTTAATTAATTTCTTGATCTCCAACTTCTATGAATTATTAATCTATCACAAGTAGTTCCTTATGACAGACGAAATTTAGCTTTGCAGCAAGATCTTAATATTCACACAGCTCCATACAATGACAGACACATTAACCTATTTAATTATAAGGAGGAGGAGGAGGAGGAGGAGGAGGAGGAGGAGGAGGAGGAGGAGGAGGAGGAGGAGGAGGAGGAGGAGGAGGATAGGGAGGAGGATAGGGAGGAGGATAGGGAGGAGGAGGAGGAGGAGGAGGAGGAGGAGGAGGAGGAGGAGGAGGAGGAGGAGGAGGAGGAGGAGGAGGAGGAGGAGGAGGAGGAAGAGGAGGAGGAGGAGGAGGAGGAGGAGGAGGAGGAAGAAAAGGAAGAGAGGAGGAGGAAGAAAAGGAAGAGAGGAGGAGGAAGAAAAGGAAGAGAGGAGGAGGAAGAAAAGGAAGAGAGGAGGAGGAAGAAAAGCAAGAGAGGAGGAAGAAAAGGAAGAGAGGAGGAGGAAGAAAAGGAAGAGAGGAGGAGGAAGAAAAGGAAGAGAGGAGGAGGAAGAAAAGCAAGAGAGGAGGAAGAAAAGGAAGAGAGGAGGAGGAAGAAAAGGAAGAGAGGAGGAGGAAGAAAAGGAAGAGAGGAGGAGGAAGAAAAGCAAGAGAGGAGGAAGAAAAGCAAGAGAGGAGGAGGAAGAAAAGGAGGTGAGGAGGAGGAAGAGAGGAGGAAGAAAAGGAAGAGAGGAGGAGGAAGAGAGGAGGAAGAAAAGGAAGAGAGGAGGAGGAAGAAAAGCAAGAGAGGAGGAAGAAAAGGAAGTGAGGAGGAGGAAGAGAGGAGGAAGAAAAGGAAGAGAGGAGGAGGAAGAGAGGAGGAAGAAAAGGAAGAGAGGAGGAGGAAGAAAAGCAAGAGAGGAGGAAGAAAAGGAAGTGAGGAGGAGGAAGAGAGGAGGAAGAAAAGGAAGAGAGGAGGAGGAAGAAAAGCAAGAGAGGAGGAAGAAAAGGAAGTGAGGAGGAGGAAGAGAGGAGGAAGAAAAGGAAGAGAGGAGGAGGAAGAAAAGGAAGAGAGGAGGAGGAAGAAAAGGAAGAGAGGAGGAGGAAAAGGAAGAGAGGAGGAGGAAGAAAAGCAAGAGAGGAGGAAGAAAAGGAAGAGAGGAGGAGGAAGAAAAGGAAGAGAGGAGGAGGAAGAGAGGAGGAAGAAAAGGAAGAGAGGAGGAGGAAAAGGAAGAGAGGAGGAGGAAGAAAAGCAAGAGAGGAGGAAGAAAAGGAAGAGAGGAGGAGGAAGAAAAGGAAGAGAGGAGGAGGAGGAGGAGGAGGAAGAGGAAGAGGAAGAGGAGAGGAAGAGGAAGAGGAAGAGGAAGAGGAGAGGGAGGAAGAGGAAGGAAGAGGAAGAGGAATAGGAGGAGGAGGAATAGGAGGAGGAGGAATAGGAGGAGGAGGAATAGGAGAAGGAGGAATAGGAGGAATAGGAGGAGGAGGAATAGGAGGAATAGGAGGAGGAGGAATAGCTTGAGGAGGAATAGGAGGAGGAATAAGAATAGGAGGAGGAGGAGGAAAAGGAAGAGAGGAGGAGGAAGAAAAGCAAGAGAGGAGGAGGAAGAAAAGGAAGAGAGGAGGAGGAAGAAATGGAAGAGAGGAGAAGGAAGAAAAGGAAGAGAGGAGGAGGAAGAAAAGGAAGAGAGGAGGAGGAAGAAAAGGAAGAGAGGAGGAAGAAAAGGAAGAGAGGAGGGAAAGTAGGAAGAGGGAGAGGATGAGGAAGAAGTTGAGTGAAGAAGACAAAATTGGGGAGGAGGAAGAAGTAGGGGGGTAAGAGGGAGGAGAGGAGGGAGAGGAGGAGAAAGAGGAGGAGGGGAAGAGGGAGGAGAGGAGGGGCAGAAGGACATGAATGAGGAATAGGAAAGTAATGAAAAGAAAGCTAAAGAAAATATACAAAAAAAAGAAAATGAAAAACACAGAAATTCAAAAATAAAAAAGAAAAAGATGAGGAAAGAAAGAAGACAAGAAAGAAAAAAAAAAGATGAAGAAGAGGAAGAGAAGGAGGAAGGGGAAGGGGAAGAGGAAGAGATAGAGGAGGAAGAGAAGAAGAGAAGAAAGTAGATAATATGAATGGCTAAAGAATGGAAAATAAACAATGTGAAAGAACAAAAAAAAAAGGAAGAAGAAAGTAAAGAAAATAATACGAAGAGAAGGACCAGAAAGGCCCCTTAACATAAACCAGTAAACAGAGGAGGCATTCAAACCAAGGAGAAGAAAAAAAAAGGCAAACAGTTCAAGACGACAACCCAAGTGTAGATTAAGTAGGGGGAACCGAGACATACTTAGGCGTGAGGTGGTTGAAAGTGTCATCATCCATCCAGTCGACAAGCTGAATCAGTTTGTAAGGGTCAATAGGAGGCGGATACACTACCTCCTTCACCTCCACCCGGTCGCAGTTACAATAAGCCGTGGACACATGAACCAACGCCTGGTGGGGGGAGGAGACAGAGAGTGAGGAGGTGGGGATCAATACACCGACAAGGAGCTCTAAGTGTTTTTTTTTTTGGATATGATGTAAGTGGGGGGGGATGGAAAATGCAGATTAGTACTGAGGTTGTTACACTATGCAGTGCGTGAAATTTCTCCTTCAGATTCTGGTCTACGCCCTGCCGAGAGAGGCAATCATGACATTGGTATCTTCAAAATGAGGCTTCAATAATCATAGATAGGCTCTGAAAAAATCTATACACAAATAAATAACAAAAAATTTTAATCATTTCTAGTTTCCATGTACTGCAGTTTATTACTACTAGTGATATTAGTCAGAACAAACAGATAGCAACTTCCACTGATGAAAATGACTGGACTTGAAAGCAAAGGGGTATATAAGCGAGTGAGAGAGCACACTTAGTCCACACAACATATCGCAAAACATTTATCTTTACAAGCATCAACCAAGAAAAAAAAATGCGGAGACAAAATACTTATTAGCAAAATTCATGAATACCAATGAGACCTTGATCAATAAATATTCTAACATTAAGATCTGCACAAAAATTGATTTCTTGTGACTTGAAATTTGATTTTATATGGTATAATAAAGACTATACATACAAATGCAAATACATATTATTAATCATGTTTCTATCTATCTATCTATCTATCTATCTATCTATCTATAAATCTATATCTACACTACAAATAAATAGATAGATATATGGATGAATATATGCATGAATATGTATGTGTGTGTGTCTGTGTGCGCGCGCGCGCGCGCGTGTGTGTGTGTGTGTGTGTGTGTGTGTGTGTGTGTGTGTGTGTGTGTGTGTGTGTGTGTGTGTGTGTGTGTGTGTATGTGTGTGTATGTGTGTGTGTATGTATGTATGTATGTATGTATGTATGTATGTATGTATGTATGTATGTATGTATGTATGTATGTATGTATGTATGTATGTATGTATGTATGTATGTATGTATGCATGTATGTATGTATGCATGTATGTATGTATGTGTATGTGTATGTATGTATGTATGTATGTATGTATGTATGTATGTATGTATGTATGCATGTGTGTATGTGTGTATGTGTGTATGTGTGTATGTGTGTGTGTATGTGTGTATGTGTGTATGTGTGTATGTGTCTATGTGTGTATGTGTGCATGTGTCTATGTGTGCATGTGTCTATGTGTGCATGTGTCTATGTGTGCATGTGTCTATGTGTGCATGTGTCTATGTGTCTATGTGTCTAAGTGTGTCTATGTGTCTAAGTGTGTCTATGTGTCTAAGTGTGTCTATGTGTCTAAGTGTGTCTATGTGTCTAAGTGTGTCTATGTGTCTAAGTGTGTCTATGTGTCTAAGTGTGTCTATGTGTCTAAGTGTGTCTATGTGTCTAAGTGTGTCTATGTGTCTAAGTGTGTCTATGTGTCTAAGTGTGTCTATGTGTCTAAGTGTGTCTATGTGTATGTATGTGTATGTATGTGTATGTATGTGTATGTGTATGTGTATGTATGTGTATGTATGTGTATGTGTATGTGTATGTGTATGTGTATGTGTATGTGTATGTGTATGTGTATGTGTATTTGTATGTGTATGTGTATATGTTTATATGTGTATATAAACATATGTATGTTTATGTTTGTATATGTATATGTATGTGTGTGTGTTTTTGTATGTATATCTGTTTATGTATGTGTTTGTGCGTGTGTATGTGTGTATATGTATGTGTGCGTGTGCTTGTGCGTGTGCGTGCGCATGTATGTTAGCATATGTGCGTGTGCGTGTTTGCGCATCCATCTATCCTAGCACACGCAGCGCCACCAGCCCAATCCAGCGGCCACGCCCCCTCGCCACCCACCACCAGCTTCTCCATCTTGTGGCACAGCTCGACGAGGCGCCGCGTCCCGAGCACGTTCATCTGCAGCGACAGCTTGAGGGCCTCGTCGAACTTCACGGTGGCGGCGGCGTGGAAGACGACGGAGATGTTGGAGGCGAGGGTGGCGGCGTCGGCGGGGGAGATGCCCAGCCCCGGCAGGGTGATGTCCCCCTGCACCGCCACCAGCTTCCCCAGCACCTCCGGGCACGACGATCTCAGCTGGTCGAAAAGCTGGAGGGGGGAGAGAGAGAGAGAGCACGTGGTTAGTCCATGCAGCGGGAGAGGGGGAGAGGGAGGGGGAGGGACTCAGATTGCAGCGGATTGCAATAGCTATTGAATGTTGCCGTTTTCTTTCTACTCTGCTGACCACGGGGAACGACGGTAAAGTTGTCGAAGATAAAGGGCGTTAGTTAATAGTGAAAACTATAAAACAAGAGTGTGAGGGATGGAGGTTGAGAGAGAGAGAGAGAGAGAGAGAGAGAGAGAGAGAGAGAGAGAGAGAGAGAGAGAGAGAGAGAGAGAGAGAGAGAGAGAGAGAGAGAGAGAGGGAGAGAGGGAGAGAGGGAGAGAGGGAGAGAGGGAGAGAGGGAGAGAGGGAGAGAGGGAGAGAGAGGGAGGGAGGGAGGGAGGGAGGGAGGGAGGGAGGAGAGGGAGAGAGAGGAGAGAGAGAGAGAGAGAGAGAGAGAGAGAGAGAGAGAGAGAGAGAGAGAGAGAGAGAGAGAGAGAGAGAGAGAGAGAGAGAAGGAGGAGGTGGAGGAGGCGGAGGGAGAAAGGGAAAGAAAGGGAAAGAAAGGGAAAGAAAGAGAAAGAAAGAAAGAAAGAAAGAAAGAAAGAAAGAAAGAAAGAAAGAAAGAAAGAAAGGAAGAAAGAAAAAGAAAGAAAGAAAGAAAGAAAGAAAGAAAGAAAGAAAGAGAGAGAGAGAGACAGATTTACACAGATTTTCCTTCTAATCCCATTTTCTTGCCTGTCTCGAATCTTTAGCGTCTCCTGGCTGTCGCATAAAATTATCCCAAGAGACAGGCGACAAAAATAATTGTCAAGTCATCAAAACATAAATCCTGTTTCACAGCTGCAAACATAACTCGTCAACTAACATTAAGACCAACACATAAAAAGCGTGTCTTAAAATGGGATAAATATATTCCCTTTATAACACCACACATCAGACACGTTTACATGCCGTATATATATCAATCAACCCTAAAAAAAAAAGAGAAAATGAAAGTACAGAACAAATCTAGAAGAAAACTACCTTTTTCTTTATCGAAATCTGCACTATGCAACATATTGACATTTCATCCACTCCCTCCCTCCCCTTCCCTCCTAAAAATAATACTATGGAGCAAGACATGTTTACACGTGTTCTTTACAGAGCGAGTACGAAAGAGAGATTAGCTTTCCCCTCCCCCCCTACGTGAAGGTCACTTGGGGGTCCCAACACCTTAGCAACTACCTTTTCGACAACGATTGCGTAACCGCATTTGCAAATAAGGTTGCAAAATACCATATCAAAGCCTTGCATACATTCGAATAAATTTTTTCCAAACAAACCTTGACTGATTTTTGTTTTCAATTTCTAATAATAATATCGTCACTTTCCTAATGTCAAAACAGGAAATTAAACGTCCTTTTTTCCAAAGAGGTACACAGGTAAACGGTAAAAATATGCACTTCTTTGCAGCCTCGCGGTCAGCTCCGGCGTCGTCTATATAACCTTCGACTGAGTACTCGCCGTGGGCACAAACTACAGGTAATTACCCCTTTCCTCAAAGTAATTGTACTTTTTTTCCATAGGGGTGAATTGGTATTATAAAATAGAAACTAAGATAGGGAAAAAAATGCAGAGAAAGTAGCAACGAGACACTGCAGTACTAGACCTTTCAAAAAATTCAGGTATTCGCTAAGGATTACGGGTATTGTTGCAAACACACCTGCGTCATCTCTTATAATATCACACTCGCCAGAAAATATCATGAATATTCTTTCACTCTCGCTGACGACTGTGTGACTGTGAAAAACCTCAAAACGAGTTTGTGACAATGCTTGTTTTCGCTCTGCAATGCCATCAGTTTCTCTCCATATGCAAACCAAACACACCGAACGATTTGTTTTTCTTATCAAAGCTGTAAACAAAGCGCTATCTATATCTATTACTATCTATTAATTCGACTGCAGTTGAAGATATTGTTTTGCTGAGTTGCAGTTTTGCAAGCTGGTGGCATAATCTTTAATTTCGCAACGTCTTATCACATAACAACAATAATGTTTTTTTTTATTATTTATAATAATATATACATATTCAATTTATAATAATATGTACATTCAACATATAATAATATATATATTTAATATATAGTCAATATCATCACCACCATCATAATAACATAAAAATAATAATAATAATAACAACAATATTAAAAACACCAACAATAGTAGTAGTAGTAGTAGTAGTAGTAGTAGTAGTAGTTGTAATAATAATAATAATAATAATAATAATAGTAACTGATGATGAATATGAAGTTTCAGTCTGACTCCATCCCCTACAAACGCACTTACAAAAAATGAGAGAGAGAGAGAGAGAGAGAGAGAGAGAGAGAGAGAGGAGAGAGAGAGAGAGAGAGAGAGAGAGAGAGAGGAGAGAGAGAGAGAGACGAGAGAGAGAGGAGAGAGAAAGGAAAGGAGAAGAGGGAGAAAGGAGAAGAGAGAGAGAGAGAGAGAGAGAGAGAGAGAGAGAGAGAAGAGAGAGAGAGAGAGAGAGAGAGAAGAGAGAGAAGAGAGAGAAGGGAGAGAAGGGAGAGAAGGGAGAGAAGGGAGAGAAGGGAGAGAAGGGAGAGAAGGGAGAGAAGGGAGAGAAGGGAGAAAAGGGAGAAAAGGGAGAGAGAGAGGGAGGGAGACAGACAGACAGACAGACAGCACACACACACAATACATACACACAAACACAAACACACAACACAACACAACACAACACAAACAAACAAACACAAACACAAGCCCACAACCAGCGCGACGCCGGGGTACACTCCATCTAGGGCGTCAGAGGCATCCACATTAAAGGGCTCAGGCACAATGGCACAGAATGACTCAGGAGAGCGAGCTATCCGCTTGCCGTGGCCTCGAGCGCAGTTGAAGTAGCAAGCAGGGCCCTTTCTTCGAGGCGTGATGATAGGGGGGGAGGAAGCAACGGGTGAAACGGCGTCAACAGAAAGGAGATAAACTGCAATCTCTCCTTAATGCTATTGCACGTGCGTCGTAATTGGCAAACTGTATAAGGAAAACTTGGTTCCTTTTTTTTTCGTATCTTGCTCGTTATCCGATCTCGCTGGCCGGCGCTCGACAAATGGCAATGAAGGAAAAAAAGTGTATACATATAAATGGATAGATGGAGAGACAGAGATAGATAGGTAGGTATATAGACTGACAGACAGACAGACAGACAGATAGATACAGACAGACAGACGGACAGAGACAGTCAGACGGCAGATGGACAGACAGAGACAGACAGAAAGACATAGATAGACAGACAGACAGATAGAGACAGAAACACAGACACAGACAAAGACAGACAGACAGACACAAACTAACAGACAGACAGACGACCGAGAGAGACTGAAACAGAAAAAAGTCTTGGTAAGATTTCTCCGCTTACCGAGGAGGGCGAAAGGTGAAGCGGGCACAAAAAAATAGGAAAAGAGGGAAAAAACTAACCAGGTCCTGGATATGACAAGTGACACGGCCCCTGAACCCTCCCCCCCTCCCCTCCCTTTTTCCCCGACCCCGCTTCCTCCTCCTCCTCCTTTCGTCTCCTTCTCTTCCTTCCTCCTTCCCTTATTCCCATTCCATAACCGGCACCCTGCCACCTCCTCCTTTCTCCTCCACTTTCTTCCCTCCCTCTTTCCCCCTTTTCCCAAATCTCCATCTCCTCCTCCATCTCCTCCTCCATCTCCATCTCCATCTCCATCTCCATCATCTCCTCCTCCTCCTCCTCCCCCTCCTCCTTCTCCCCCTCCTCCTCCTTCTCTTCCTCTTCCCATTCCTTCCTCCCTCCCATACTCCCATTCCGTACCCTCCACCCTGCTTCTCTCTTCCTCCTCCTCTCCCCCCCAACCCCCCCCACCCCTCAGCTTTTCAAAATGTTTACGCAGGAGAAATCAGCCGTTTGCAAAGGTGTTCTCCCAAGCTCCTGCTCTCAGACACACATTCCTAAAAATACTGTATATAGCAAAAAAAAAAAAAAAAAAGAAAAATATGCATTCATCCCTTTTCCCAATTCTCCTGAGAGAGAGAAGAGAGAGAGAGAGAGAGAGAGAGAGAGAGAGAGAGAGAGAGAGAGAGAGAGAGAGAGAGAGAGAGAGAGAGAGAGAGAGAGAGAGAGAGAGGCATCAATATTTTTTCCTTCAAAACACATCACCCCATAAAAAAAAAATGCATTCATCTCTTGCCCCGCCCCCCACAAGTACCTCCTCCCCCTAAAAAATAAAAAATGAGGGAGAGGCTTCATTTTCGTTGAACCACACGAATCCCATACGTTCCTTATCAGCATGAGAAACTACCCTTAAGAGCACTTGATAAGGAAGAGAGAGAGGGGGGGGGGAGAAGGACCGAAGGTTGTCACTCTGGACACTTGACGCCCTAGATACAGCATTTCAAAGTCCAACTCCAACGCAGGCCTTCACGTGACAACAGACTGAGGGTGGGAAAAAAAAACAAAAAAAACAGATCACACGAAGAGATCTGGTCAACACATGCAACATGAAAGCTAACATTTACGGATGCGAAAGAGAAAGAAAACGAACGAAGAAAAGGGAAGAGAGAGAGAAAATCAAATAAAAAACAACGAAAAAGAGATAGAACCGCAAAAGGGAGAGAAAAGGAAGGGCAACGTGAGAGTTAACATTTACGAATACGAGAGAGAAAGAAAACGAACGAAGAAAAGGAAAGAGAGAGAAAATTAAATAAAAAAAACAATGAAAAAGAGACAGAAACATAAAAGGGCGAGAGAAGGAAAGGCAACATGAAAGTTAAGATTTACGAATACGAGAGAGAGAGAAAACGAAAGAAAAAAGGAAAGAGGGAGAAAAGAAATCTATATCCGGCACAAACTGACCCTCTTTATCATACTCTCTTTTTCCCCCCCTCCCCCCCCTTTTTCATTTCTTACCATTTTGTCCAATCTTGAGAAAACCAAAGAGGGAAGTGTTGATATTCCCTTCCAAAGGCTGGTGCTACTTTCATCGATGCTTATCATACTGATTACGTTTCTGGATAGTGATTGTGCAAAAGCTTGTGTTTTTTTCTATGTCAACATTGCGAGAACTTTCACATAATTTTTCGTTCATCCTTTCTGCATACTTATTTTAACGGGAAACACGAGAAATCTCTGCAGAGCATGAGTGTTTGACCAATGTATTTTGATTGCATAAACTACAGTCAGAGAATGGGAGAGGGAAGGAGGGGGAGGGGGAGGGGGAGGGGGAGACAAACAAACAGACCAGGCAGACCAGATAGACAGACAGACAGACACACACACACACACACACACACACACACACACACACACACACACACACACACACACACACACACATACACATACACACACACACACACACACACACACACACACACACACACACACACTCACACTCACACTCACACACACACACACACACACACACTCACACTCACACTCACACTCACACTCACACTCACACTCACACACACACACACACACACACACACACACACACACACTCACACTCACACACACACAGATAGAGTGGATGATGGCGTCTCATTGGCAGTTCCGTGAGTGGACTCAGACCGAGAAGCCAAGGCATTCCGACCAACACGGCCACAGCATGACCAAGCCCTCAGCCACCCTCGCTCCTCAGCACCTCAGGAAGCGCCGGAGGAGGAAAGAGAAGGACAGATAAACCACGAGTCTTACCTTCGAGTTGAGGAGTTCGTCCAGCCTGGCGTCCACGTGGTGCCCGCCCTTCGGCCTCATGAGCAGGTAGATCTTGGAGAGGCCCGGGCATGACCTGAGCAGCTTCTCCACCAGGACCTTCCCCATGAAGCCCGTGGCGCCCGTGATGAGCACGCTCCGGTCACGGTAGAAGTCCGCGACGGTACTCATCCTGCCAGAGGTCCAAGCGCGGGAGGGAGCCCTGCTGGCGTCCTGGGGCCTCTCGGCTGCGTCCTAGGCGGATCCGCGTCGCTCCTGAAGGCTCCTGCGAACTCTCGCTCCGGCGTCCGTCTTCCGGGGACGATCGCTCGATACACGCTCTTGCGGCCGACGACGATGCAGGCGCAGCGGCTGTCTCCTGTCACATAGGACGGCGGGTCGCACGAGGACAAGCGCCGTCAGAGGGGGCGATTGGCGGAACAGGAGGAAACGCGTCCGCAGGAACGGAGGGGCATGACAGGCGGCCAGCAGGGAGCAGAGAGAGCGGGCCGCGCAAGTGCACGTCGTGGCGTCTGCAGCGACTGTGGGGCGCAGCGAGGAGTCCAGCGGCAACTCAAGCCTCGCCGCCGTCACGCGGACGCAGCCCACACTTTTACTCGCGCTGGAAAAGTCCTTGGCAAACACAGCGCGGTCTGAGCCGAGAAGAGGCGAGGGCGAAGCGGGAGAGAGGAGAGGGGAAAGCGGCAGGAAGAGTCAGCGAGTCGGGTTGGATAGGGGGGGAGGGGAGAGGGAACGCTAATGGCAGAGAGCGTAATGGGGCGACCCGATCGAAACGGCGATAAAGGGAGAGAAGGAAAGGAGGACTGATGACGACAGACTCACGTCAGGAGGAAGAGAGGGAAGAAGAGGAGTAGGAGGAAAAGGAAGAACCCGGCGAGGTCTTCTTGCTGGTCGCGTCGCTGTCCTGGAGGCTGGTTCTCACGCCCCCGCAAGGTCTCCGCAAGATTCCTCCGGCAGGTTCCAGGATGCTGCTGCAGATGATGCCTCGTGCCACCATGCGACCTGCAACGCCCAAGGGAGAGCCGTTAGTGCCGGGAAGTGCCACCGGAACACAGTTACTTCGGTTATGTAGACAGTCCTATAAATGCATAAATATAGAGATAAACAGAGTAGAGATAGACAGATAAATAAGTAGGAAGGTGTGAAGGAAGGAAGGAAGGAAGGAAGGAAGGAAGGAAGGAAGGTAGGTAGGTAGGTAGGTAGGTAGAAAGGAAGGAAGGAAGGAAGGAAGGAAGGAAGGAAGGAAGGAAGGAAGGAAGGAAGGAAGGAAGGTAGGAAGGTAGTTAGGTAGGTAGGTAGAAAGGAAGGAAGGAAGGAAGGAAGGAAGGAAGGAAGGAAGGAAGGAAGGAAGGAAGGAAGGAAGGAAGGAAGGAAGGAAGGAAAGAAGGATATGAGGATGGAGGGAAGGAAGAAAGGAAGGTAGGAAGGAAGGTAGGATGGAAGGAAGGATGAAAAAAAGGAAGGAATGAAGGAAGGAAGGAAGGAGGAAGGAAGGAAGGAAGGAAGGTAGGTAGGTAGGTAGGTAAGTAAGAAAGAAGGAAGGAAGTTAGGGAGGTAGGTAGGAAGGAAGGAAGGAAGGAAGGAAGGAAGGAAGGAAGGAAGGTAGGTAAGTAAGAAAGATGGAAGGAAGGTAGGGAGGTAGGTAGGTAAGTAGGAAGAAAGGAAGGAAGGAAGGTAGGTAGGCAGGGATGTAGGTGGGTAGGTAGGTAGGTAGGTAGGTAGGTAGGTAGGTAGGTAGGTAGGTAGGTAGGTAGGTAGGTAGGTAGGTAGGTAGGTAGGTAGGTAGGTAGGTAGGTAGGTAGGTAGGTAGGTAGGTAGGTAGGTAGGTAGGTAGGTAGAAAGGAAGGAAGGAAGGTAGGAAGGAAGGAAGGAAGAAGAAGGAAGGAAGGAAGGAAGGAAGGAAGGTAGGTAGGTAGGTAGAAAGGAAGGAAGGAAGGAAGGAAGGAAGGAAGGAAGGTAGGGAATAAAGGAAGGAAGGTAGGTAGGTAGGTAGAAAGGAAGGAAGGAGGAAGGGACGCGCGGGCCGAGGGACGGACTGCTCAAGCATCTGCGCTCGCCTCGCTCTGATTAATGACATGTCGTAATACATATATATAGATAGATAGATAGATAGATAGATAGATAGATAGATAGATAGATAGATAGATAGATAGATAGATAGATAGATAGATAGATAGATAGAGAGAGATTAGATATATAGATATATAGATATATATAGATATATATAGATAGATATAGATAGATATAGATATACACATACATACATCTATATCCATAGCAAATATACCCATATCTACCCCACGCACGACAAATAAATTTCACAAGAGCGGAGTAAAGAAACGGCAGACAACGCAAGTACTACGAATGACCCGCCCCCAAAGGCAAGGTGCACGTGCATAGCAAGGGCAACATTTATCCTTGGTGAAAGAGAAAGGTACGGCAGTAGACGGTTCGAAAAAAAGGTATATATATATATATCTACAAGGAAAAAAAATGACTTGACATCGCAAAACAGCATCTACCTCGTAAAAAATATATTCACACGTCGGAAACACGTTTACGTCGACGCTATACTGACACCAGATAGGTTTACCTTACGTAAGGACATGACCTGTTGAAAGTTGAAATGATCATTAAAAGGGAGGAAAAATTTTGAATGCACTGCAACAGGAGGCGTACGAAGGCCAAACGATATAAAAGGAGAATCGCTGCAGACGTTGATGTGTCTGTCTATTCGGGGTCATTTGCATTTTAGACGAAGGGAAGGGGAGGGTGTTGCTGATTGTGTGTGTGTGTGTGTGTGTGTGTGTGTGTGTGTGTGTGTGTGTGTGTGTGTGTGTGTGTGTGTGTGTGTGTGTGTGTGTGTGTGTGTGTGTGTACGTATACATGTACGTGTACGTATGCGTGTACGTGTACATGTGCCTGTACATGTACGTGTACGTGTTCACGAGAGGCTCCCCGGCACGCAGACTGAGCCCGTGCCAACAGGGCAAACAGGAGAAATCCAGCGACTCATCAGCGTGAGATGAGACATTTCCTGTATCACAAACCCATGTACGTCCGTATGCACGAACGATGTCCGAGTCCCTGTCCGAATGCGATCTATCTGACTACCGCGAATCTAAATATTAATAAAAATACAATAATACATTAAACATACATAATTCTAATAAAGAATGGATAAATATTAACATATTACAAATAATAATAAATATCCATAAACAAATAAATAGAAATAATGATAAATCCAGCTATTACATAATACGAAAATGATAACAAGAAAACAATAATAAACATGTCATAGTAAAAATAATGATAATAATTTTAAAAATCATAAATAAAATTAAAACTAAAAGAGAGACAGACATGAAAAATCTCTCTAATTATTTGTCTAATTTATCTTTCTCTCTCTCATTAATTATTTATCTCTCTCTTTCTTGGCATATACATAAAAAAAACATAAATCCTGTACGCAATAATCATAATCATAATCTTTAAAAAAAATAAACAAATAAATAAATAATAATAATAATAATAACGATAATAGCAATAATAACGACCATAACAATAACAATAATAACGATAATAACAATATTAACAATAATAATAATAACAATAATAATAATTACTATTATTATTATCATTATTATTATTATTATTACTATTACTATTATTATTATTATCATTATAATTCAAGAACTATATCCACAAATAAAAAATTAAAATCTGAATCATCTTAAAACTTTCTCCTTGCGACACCCCCCCCCTGCATCACTCCTGGGGGTTTAATAGCCACATGGCCTAGCAAATTCCTAAATTCCCTTCCTTAAAGACACTCTTCAGAAAATGACCCACGATGCGAGACTATTTTTCTTTTTTCTTTTTTTTTCGTCTT